AAAATAGACACGTCCATCCAAGTGCAAGAGTGGTACATCACTGTGGTAATTGTTTCTGTTACCCAATACTATCGGTTACTAATGAGTAATGCACCTGTACCGGTATTATAGAAATCAATTATTACTGTGTTGATGGGTTTTTGTTAAATTTTACTCGTCATATGCTTCTGAGTATACATGTTATCATGGAAAATGCTCAATATAAATGAATGAATAAATAAAAATTATTATTTTATTATTCTAAAATACTGTTCACTACAAGTAGATGATGCGGCACCATATTCTGTAGTTAAGCATGTGATGTACATGTATGTACATTATACAAACAATTTCAGTACTGGTACATTTCCTGCAAGGTTTGAAATCTGGTTTTTTTTAGTGTTGCAGTTTACACAAAATTTGTCATCAATCAAAGATACATTTGTTGCTTGTAGTCAAACAAATTTAAACTTTTTCTTGTTTTATCTTTGGCTGTTTGGATTGTATTTATAAGTATGTGAAACCAGTTCACCTCGGTTGAGACATTATCAAGAAATGTGTGAACACTACAAACGCCGCGTTTACACTTTGATCCTGCAAAGGAGGATCAGATCCAGCGAGAGCAATCAAATGAGGGGGATCAGATCTGTGCCGCATTTACACTTGATCCTGATTCCACAGGGAATCATTGAAGCCCTGCAACCTCGGGGCAAAGGTTGTGTGAACAGTTCATTGATTATGCGCACAGGAGCAAAGCGGCAGCGGTTGTTACAAACTTGGTATATGCGGCTTTTGTTTGAGATAAGGATTGACCTTCTCAGAAGCAAACACGTTGACGAGCCTAATGAAAAAACTTAACAATAAAAAATAAGGAAATGGAAGGTTTTGGAAGAGCGATATGTAGCGGTAACAAAAGTCAGAAACTCGACGTGGAAAGATAATGGGAAGGGCAAGTACCAGTTTACTACCAAGTCACAGTACAAAAGCACACAGGCTTAACTGAGAACCAGTGTAATGCTTGTTACGGACGTGGCATCCAGGCCAACAGCGTATGTATGGTACGTGCACAATGTCATGTACGTATACATGGCATGTAGGTCTTCATGAAGACACAGACCTGTTTTTCGCTCGCTTCAAGACTTGCACCAGATGTAGTTACGCCAACTTCCGGGATCTGATCTGGATCTTATCTGGCATTGCGTTTGCACTTGCAAATTGATCTCGCACACGGGATCTGAACCAGATGTGATCCTTCCCAAGAGAAGGATTAGATCCCAGGATCAGGATCTGATCCTGCGTTGCGTTTACACATGTTTTGATCTGGATCTGATCACCCCTTGTTGGATCTGATCCTCCTTGAGGGATCAAGTGTAAACGCAGTGTTAGTGTACTTCCTTATGAAAGCCGACAGCACGTTACCACTTGAATTGAGAAATGCGGATCTTGATCCAGCATTTTGGTGTGATCTTACTGCAACGACACTGCAAGTCACGTTCCCACTAGCACTTGATCCGCCTTTTCGGACGGAAATATCGAGCCCGAAAGGTCACTAAGTTCGGTATTGCGCATGTGCTACCTTGCTGAGTGCGCGCGTGTTACCCTGCGGTGTTTTGGGTGCGGAGTTCTACTGACGTGACGATCTTGAATCAGACCGAATGTTCAGCCTAGTACGTTGTCTCTTCAAACGTCGCTTCCGTTTTTGATACTCTGTCACACGCTGCGGGCTATACGCTAACACGGAATTAGTTTCTGATTGAAACCAAGTGAAATTACAAAATGAAAAAGGTTAAGAAACGGACGAATGCACAACGAAAATTATGAAAGGGCAAGGTACACATAACAGCATGCATGCATTGCGCATGTGTGGTGACACATTTTGCTAGCCCATAGTTCAGCAGTTGTTTATTGTGGATGCTGTGTGAGTTAAAGATTCCACACGAGCTACACGCCAAAAAATGTATTTCTTTGTTCATCAGACCGCAAAAGTTTGGCGCTACTCATGCACGGACTGATGTTGACAGGTCAAATTGCCGGATCAGATCCACCTTTTGCGTTCCCATCTGATCGTGATCTGCCAATTGCAGGATCTGATCCACCACTAGGGGGATCTGATTGAGCAATTTGGCAAAAGGTGAATCGGATCCCTCAATTGGTGGATCAAGTGGGAATGGGCTGCTACTACTAGTTGGCTATGCATTCCTCCCTATCAATATCACATTCAACACAAGGAAGATAAGTATGTCAACATTTACTCCTTGGAAAAGCAAACAGTTAATTGTGATAGCTTTGATGAGTTCTAAGCCGATAAACTGACTAGTGGGAAGGTCTTTTGTGTGTCCGATTGCAGTAGGGTTCTTGGACTGTGTACATGTACCAGCAAGTAGCCCTGAGTACAATGACTGCTAAAACAAATTTGCTTTTAGAGCCTCCATATAACTCACACCTGTTACCTCATGATCTAGTCTACACTAACCTGGTTGGGAATGAACTGTCCTGATGAATGGGTACCTACCCATTTATAAACAGATAAAGAATGGTAAGAGGAGGATATTTTAATTGAGGTTTTGTGCTAAGGTGAGGTAAAAAAAAAGTGCAGCATCTAGTGTGAGTAAAGAGATTATAGAGGAATGTCACAGAGGAATGTTGAACAATTAACAAGAAAAAAAAGTTGAAATTCAAAGAAGGCCACAATTTAAGTTAATGATTAGACATTCCGGTTGTTAGAAGGTGACATCCAAGTTTGTCTATGCATATGTACAAGGCAGAGGGAAAAAATTAATTCAGAGAAGGTCATCAAGAAGTTGGGGAAATGCTGTAAAATGAAGGATACATGTACATGTCTTTAGACAACAGAAAACTAAACATAAAAGTCGGAAATGGTATTGTACATGTATGCTGCGGAAGAGTTTTATTACATTTGCAGAAATGTGGGTATTTTGTTTCATATTGAGAATTCACATGCAGATTTGGGTTTTTTAAGGAACGATTTGCCCAAAGCTTTAGTATTCCAGAAATGTCCATTGTCTATCTGCCAGCATGTACAATGTACCACAAACACAACAGATGACTGATCAGAAGCTACCTCCAGTCAGCAGGCTGAGGTCAAAAAGGTAAACTCCATGTGACCCATTTTTCTCTCTTTGTTGATTTTCTTTATACAGTTTTACAGGAAGGACTAAGAGAAGTATCAACTTGGGTTCCTATAACTACCTGGGATTTGCTGAAAACTGTGGGCCACGATCAGTGCAGGTGGACACAATAACAAGACAGTATGGATCTGGTATATGCAGCCCAAGACGAGAACTAGGTATCAAACTCTCATTTAGGAAGGGGGCGAATAATGGGTCATGTGATTTTTTTTTAAGTCTGCAGCGGCTACCGTGCCCTAGGTCCCAAAGCGAGCCAACAGACCTAAAATCAAACTTGCATGTATCCATTGTTCATGTTTGGCTTATGCAGCGTCATGTTCCAATTTGTAAAATGTGTGTGCGGTTAGTATAATGCATGTTGTGAAATTTTGGGAAGGGGAGGGGATTGTGAGGAATTGAGGGGGACAGTATGACACCAGCCCCCATCCCTACAGCTACTGACCCACCTCAACCAGTGTCAAAAACGTAATTCTTCGTAAGTATCTGAAATTTGCTGAGGAATTCTCATTTGTAAATTCAGCTGAAATTTGGCCACTGCTTGCCATGAATTTCAGACATTCAATCCAGACAGATTTCAGACGTTTGAAAGGCCTCTAGTTTGCCTGGACTAGTAACTGCTGACTTTTTGTTTGTTTTTCACCAACCCCTTGCATTTTCCATGAGGAAAGCTTGCAGACGACTGGGTAGGCACACTAAATAGGTTTATTTTGCTTGTCCTGAAGTGAACTTTGCAATCGATCATTCAAAGCATTTCTTTGTATATTACCCACCCCATGAGGATCTAGAAACCTGCAACGGCCGCCATTTCCTGGAATGGTGTGATTACAGGTCAAAGGGGTCAGCTTATATTGGTTGATTTTTGTGGCTTTGTGGTTTAGACAGTATTGGGGAGAAAATCAGACTGACAGAGAGTTGGACAGTTAAGCTTGAAAGTCAGTGGGAATGAGTCAGGGGCATGAGGGGTGCCTGTAACCTCAGCTGACAGGGTTAAAACACCGGTTCTGGGTTCAGCTGCAGATTAGTCCGTCTGAGTAAGGTTGGAGTCGGCTGTGTACACTGCATGAGAGCAGTGGTGACATGTTGGAAGATAAGGATGTCAGGACTCTATTTATGCAGGGTTTCCGAGGTTATTTCAACCTACATGTATGTCCATAGTCAAAGACAGTTGAGTTCACGTGCATAACACTTCACATAGAGGATTTGTTGTTGTTGACAAGTTCAGGCAGTTTCTATGTACCTGTACAAAAGGTTCTAGTATTGGGTTTGTATACGCACACCATCATGCTACAGCAGTTCCCACGGGTTTTGTGCACACATGGAGGGGTCTGACTTGAGGATGACTCTGTGTGGTACAATACAGCTGATTGTCATAGCAAATATCAAACTGCAGCATTAAGTTCCAAAAAAAGATAAGTTAATGTAAATGACATGTACACGTAGTTAGTCTCAGGGCTCAGCAGTGGTTCCACTCAGTCATGAAAACCAGCCATGCTACATGTATTTCATTATTTAAAATCAGTGGAGAGTTTTTGCCAAAAATGAAATGAAGGGACCCACTCATTGCAAAGTAACAGTGTCCACAAAGGGTGGAAGGACAACACTTGCTTCCTCTTGATTTTGATTTTGCCCCAGAATGTACATGCACAACAGCATGGAGCTATTAAAAGGATCACAGTGACAATTCTGTCATATTATGCTTCTCACATTACAGTCTTATGATTTCAGAAAGTTGGAAGTTGTGTGCAAATACACATTACAATAATTAGTTCATCCTTAGGATCACCGCCTGCTGTCATTACTGTGTGTTCATTGTACATGTAGGTCAAGTTATGACCCTAGCATTATGGTGTGAGTAAACAGGATGGACCAGTTTTAGGCTAACTCCTTGTCATCACCTCCCTTGCTGAAGCAACAACCTTGTCCTAAAGCCAAAGGGGTTGTATTTTTTTTAAGGCTGAGGGCCAAGTCTAGGTAGAAATGCTGCATATGTAAGTACCAGAGGTGGCAGCAATTCACATTTTGCAAGTCAAGTCACAAGTCATTATATGCAAGTCCAAGTCAAGTCACAAGTCATTAGGTCCAGTAACAAGTCAAGTCACAAGTCATTTCGTCTAAATACAAGTCAAGTCACAAGTCTCTTTGTCCAAGTACAAGTCAAGCTGCACATTTTGTCCAGCTGTAATCAGCAAAAAGAACCAGGCATCAACTTACGAAGTTACTAGTTTATACGAGTTATGAATATGTATGGAGCTGGTTGAGTAGCGTCAGACTTGGGTTGGTAACAAGTCATTTTTTGCAAGTCCAAGTCAAGTCACAAGTCAATTTTTGCAAGTCCAAGTCAAGTCACAAGTCAATTTTACAAGTCCAAGTCAAGTCACAAGTCAATCTTTGCAAGTCCAAGTCAAGTCATAAGTCATAGCTGGTATTGTCAAGTCACAAGTCACAAAAATAGAGATTTGAGTCCGACTCGAGCCCAAGTCACATGACTCGAGTCACCAACTCGGGTAAGTACAGGTGTGAATTTTGAATTGTTTACAATAAACATTTCATAACAAACTCTTGTACATGTAAATCTACTCACTTTTATATGAAAGCATGCGTACACGTACAGTTTAGATCCAAGCTGCATTCAGTATAGAAATTGATGACATGGTGAGTATCATAAGTGATCTGTTGGAGTATTGACCTTAAGGCCTATGTGTGCCTTACTGTAAATTGCAGGATGTCCTTGTTAATCTCAGTGTTTCCCATCGCCATGGTAACTAGGAACTTGGCTAAGCACAGTGTAGCACGGACTAACCACTTCCTGTTCTTTGTAAGTGGGTATTTCTCCTAACAAGATTAGATGTGGTAAATATTGCATAAATTTTGTAATCGACCTTTTCACTTATAAAATCACAATTATGCACGCAGGCGCACAAATGGCCTTGGCGGCAATAAGTGTGAGCGGGCCATAGAGAATGTATAGAGGTGTAAATTTGATGATCATTTTCTCTCAGGTTTTCCGGCTTTGTTCAGTTTTTTTCTTCAGAAAATCCCATTAAATTGTTTTTGCTATTAGTTTCTACTCTAAGCAGGATTTTTAGCACTGTAAAAAGACTTCATAATCGTGAGTTTTTCTGTGAAAGTATTGAAAAGGTCTATTGCTATCCATTTTTGAGGTGGATGGCTTCGACTGCAGCCTGTGAGGTTGAAGTAATCAGTAAAATGTCAAATAAAAACAAAATTGGGAAGAAAAGAAAAGTACATGCATTCTGGCATAACAGCACCCAAGAGCATCTGACATCAAAGGTGTTGTTTCATACCCGAATTACATGGATGTCAATTAAACCCCTTATCTCCTTACAATAAATTGATACATCTTCTAACTTACCGGTATTGTTGTCCAGAAATTGAGTGTACATGTCTAGTTGTTTCCTGTCACTTTAAAACCAGCTGGCAGATGTTCAGGAAAGAATTAATATGCACTGTACTATTTGCATGAGAAGCTTCAACATTAACCACTTCCTACCAGGGATTCCGGATCCAGACATGTATGCTTTATATGCATAGCCGGGGTCTCTGAACTCGGACAAAGGGAACAAGGCCTTGTAACAAAAGACCGTACTCCGAACAAAAGACCAGGCTGCTGGGCATTGCCAACATTTTTTCACTCTCAAAAGTGGAGATAATCCAGCCTTGTTTTGAAACAGTATACCACGGTTTGGGGCATTTAGAGTGAGTGGATTACCACCAGAGACAAAAATGCTCCACCACTGCAGCGATGAGCCACGCAGCACGCTAATCTGGCCCCTGTAGAGGGATCCCAATACGATGCTTTTAGCGTCGATCTGCGCACTTCCGCGTTTAAAAACGAGGCTGTGTGTGTCAGCTTCAATTCTTAATACGATCAAACGATTGAAAGTAAGGAGTCAAGACACAAAATACATAACGGTATGTTAAATTCAGACTTTTCAGGCTGCATATTTTTCTGGAAGAGTCTTTCAGGATGACTCGACACGTAAAATCAAAATAAAAAATAATTACGATTGACCGCGAACTAACGTTCCTGTGATGGTCGTGTATCTTGTACAGTGGGCGTGGTTTAAAATGAAGTGGCGTCACACTTACGAACCGGATACTCCATGTACTGTGTGGACTCCGCGGGCGCGCACGACGAAGTGCAACACAGAGAGTCTCGGTTTCGATGCAGATATGTACAGACAGTGCTTATATGAAATCCTTCTATTGAAAAGAGGTCAGCAGGGCACTCTGTCAGGTTTGTGAACAAAAGAAAGTTAGATAACACTGCACTATCTGGGCTCTTTTTACAAGGCTGCAGGCCTGGCTGAAATACTCGGGCGTCAATAGATTTTGTCTGTCAGGCTAGAGTGGACACCAGACAGTCCTTCACGTGTTTGTAAGTGTCCAGTAAATGAAGATGAAGAATATTTAAAGAATTTTGAAAACAGAAAAAAATGATAAAATATCCCGGCACAGCATCATCAACATTGATAATTGCCCCGACAGGAAGTGGTTAACCTTAAAAGGGGGCGGAGGGGCAGAATCCAACCCCCCCCCCATTTTTTTGATATCACCACAGTGCTTTTCCTCACAAGCCACACCTGTAGGAGTTCTTCTCAGAATTCAACTCTCTCCAGTCATTTTCATACCACTTTTGTGGCAATTCAACATACCCGCACTGATATTGTCATTTGCCCATTTCTCTGAGACAGGTCAGCCAAGAGAAACTTTTTTACTGCTTCCTCAGTGCATGCAGGCTGCAGGCCTGTGTCCTTGAACTTACTGATAAGGAGTGTCTCTTTATGCATGCCAAGTTTTCAAACTTTTGCGTGGGACAGTCGAGTTCTTGGGGAAGGATGAAGCCACCACCCCTACCCAGTCTGTGAGATGGTCTGAAATAACCTGTCTCTTTAAGGGAAGCTGTACATGTATAATATTTACAACTGATGTTCTGTTGGTTCCTGAAGGATGAATGAACAATATCCAGGACTAGATAACCGGTACAAAGTTACCAAGTTTTCTACTTAGTATAAATTGCATTTAGAATAAGCTCAAAGCAGTGCACATCATCTGCCGTTTTGCTAGGTAACCCATTTTTGTTATTAAGTAAAAAAAAAACTCAGCATAAAAAACCTATTGGCTTAGCAGGTCCATCAAATTAGTTTTTACCCTTGACGGTAATGGTAGAGGGAGGGTTGTAGTTAGCATTAATGGACCATAAGCAGGCTCTATTTACCGTAGCTATGACCTCACCAAGATTATTGTTGAAGTAGTAAACAGGATGACATGACAGAGATGTTATTACTATCTCCCTCTCCCCCCCCAGATAGTTTGGGTATTCATCAACCATGTTGATGCTGTTTTTATTTCTTCTACTCCGAGAGTTTATTTTTGTATCTGTCAGTGTTGTGAGTTCCTGTCTTCACATTTACTGCAAGTGTATTCATAAATCATAGGCATCCACCAGTATTGGTGCCCGAGGGTGATAAACATGTACATGTATGATGCTTACCCCTGCTCATCAAGCGCAAAGCATTTGAGATCATTTCACCTCAAATGACTACTTTCGCTTAAAACATTGCAATCTCAAACTTCATCAATAGCCATTTACATGTAGAGTTAAAAATGTTGATACAATTTTACTAGAAGTGGAAGTTATTTGTTTAGTTGCTTTGCCAAAGACTTGGTTCACCAGATGCAGAAGTTAATGCCAGAATGGAACCTACAAAAAATCACCCACAAAATGTCAAGTTTAACGTGTTCAATTGTTGGGCCATATTTTTCAACAAGTGTAGTAAATTATGTTATGATATTACATTACATCTGTTTTGACAGTTCCCTTGTTCATACATTCTTTCCTCTCGTACAGGTAATTTAAATATCCATTCTGAGTTAGATCATCTTGTCTCTCGCTTCACGGGCAAGGAGGACGCTGTCACTTTTGCCATGGGCTTTGCCACTAATGCGCTCAACATGCCGACGCTGATAGGAAAGGTAAGAAGTGGCTAACATCTCCAGGTGATTGTAGACCAGGCTGTGCTTGCTTGGTCTTCGTAGACCATACACAGCCTGAGCGAGTTATGAAAATAATTTATGTCTCACTTGTCATCTCAAGATCTGCATATCTCTTCTCAATTTGAAGTTTTCGGTTGCCTTACATATTTTTTTGTTAGTCATGGAGGTATTTTTGTCATACGAGGGAAGTAGGTTTTAACATCTTATCCCAGAGGAGTTATGATGGCAAGATGCATCCTTAATGCCCAAGCGGTGGGAGTTGTTATTTCTGTTACAAAAACGAGGAATTATATCTGCATTTATGCATTTGCTTTATTGCAATTTGCCCAACATTTGTGTTATTAGAATCTTCTTAATAACACATGCACCTATATAGTAATTGTTTATTTGGAATCTTCCCTGGAACTTGTATGCCCCATTTGTTGAATGTGTGTTATCATACTGGGGGAACATTTATATTGCAATTTGTCAGTAAATTTTGCATTTCTATATTTTTCATTGAACAATTCCTCCTCTCCCTGACCTTGTGTTTTGTTGGCAAATTGATAATCAAAGAAAGTACATGTATGTATTCCAGCATAAGTCATTTTTCAAATGTACAAGCGCAAGTTTTGTGACAGAAAAGAAACCCGACCTACATGTAGATGAGCATTTGAATTGCTTTTATTCATTTATATCTGATCATCCAAGAGTGCATTTTAGTGCCAATTATAGGATGATAATGAGTGAAGAAGACAGTGGAGAAATGTTCAGTTTTAGACGGAGAAACACCCCAGATAAATGTTTCAGGGAAAACCCATGGACTCAGGTAGGGACTGAAAACCCAATCCACATGCGGACTGAGGCGCACTCAAACCGAGGCCCCCAGAGGTGGAAGGCGAGGAAAGAAACACTGTGCCAACCTGGTTTTTAAATGCATGTTAAACTTTTTAGCTGACAAACTTGCCTTTTTTTTAGGCCTTTTCATATTTGAGTGAAGTTTTTGTTCAGTAGCACGTATTAATAAGACTATCCGACTAGCCTGCGCACCTCTGGCATGCGTTGTGTTCATTTCTCAAGTATCCTGTACTTTTTTATGCACGGTTGCCTGGTAACCACTCTATTCTTGTTTCTAACATTGTTGATGCAGGGTTGCTTGGTAGTCAGTGACAAACTGAATCATGCATCTATTGTACTGGGTGCCAGGTTGTCAGGTGCGGTAGTCCGTATATTTGAACACAATGGTAAGTCATTAGCCGTATTCACTGGTCTGCTGTCTTGTAATCTAAAGCAAGATCAGCCTTAAAATTTGGTTCAGAAACTTAATATATGGGAATAAATATTGCAATCAGGGCAACTTAAAGATTGCTCTCTCTGCTTTGATTGGTACATGCAATTCCAAATTATGGAGAAAATGTTACTTAGCTTTTATTGTCATTTTCAAAATGCAAAGTGACATGCAAAACAAACTTGTACTTTGCATGCCAAATTAACATTATAATATTTAGCAGGGAAGTATTTTTTGTCTGTGACAATGGCCTTGTTCATACTGTACATAAATTACAAGTTCATCATTGTTTGTGAAAGGTCATGTGTTTAAGGACTCGTTGAGGCTTAGTCATCAAAGAGCCAGATGAGATAGAAAAGATCGATTACGGTGTCCTTGAAGAGTGCATAGGATATTGAATGAGCAATTTTCTTGACTTTTATGGCAGTGTCTGTATCATATAGTTAATGGGATAATATTCATGCAAATAAATCCTCCAAGCAACACAACAATGATTGGACAGTCTTAATGAGTTTACTTTGTTTTGTCTTCTTTTTTGCTTTCTTTCTTTTTTTCCCCCTGAACTCATGGTGTTATCGTGGTGTTTTCAGGAACATAAAGAGTATACAAATTGTGAACTTAAAATGAAGAACACAGCTCTATGTGCTTACAGTGCCCCCTTCGGCTGTCCGTGATATACCACATTAACAATTTAAAATACAAAAACTACAAATTACAACAGGGAGAATGAAATACAAAACTCATGGCAACCTTTTGTTTTCAAATAGTTGTACTATTCTACTTCTGCCGGTGGTGACCACATAGAGGTTCACCCTGGTGAAGACTTACAGGGGACTTCAGGTGTGTCTTCACATGAAGCTGTTGAGTTGTCTTTTTCACTTGTAGACATGGAAAGCCTGGAGAAAGTCTTGAGGAATGCCGTTGTAGATGGTCAACCTCGTTCCCACAGGCCCTGGAAGAAGATTCTTATAGTGGTTGAAGGCATATACAGGTAAAAATGCTAGCGTAACACAAGTAGATAACACTCGCTAGCTAAATATTCCCACCCCAAGGATGCATTTCAGCTACTTGGCCAAACCAGAGTTTATAACAAAACCTGCCCATTACAGGAAAGTGGCTCAGCCACCTGTACTTGTCAACTGGGGTGTGAAAGCTCAGCTTTTTAGCAGATTTCCACTTTTTTGTTGAAAATGCCGAATTTAATTTTCCGCTTTTTTGCTATCGACAGGCCAAATTTCCTCATTTTTCTTCCTTTTGCAAGTACCAATTTTTCCGGGTTTTTTCTATCAACACAAAAGCCAGGCCAAACTGACACCGAACAGTACTGGGGCACAGTAATGCAAATGACTGAATCTGCTGTAATAATGTACATGCACAGTGTATGCCTCTTACGGACATGCATACACAGATCTGTGTGAGGGCATACATTCGGCAGGGAGCAAGCCTTGTGTGTAAACAGCATCCCCAGACCATCTGGTCATTGTGATGTGATTGGCTGCCAATAAAATATCAATATTCATATAATGTCAGTGGGACTCATTGCAGCCATTCTTGGTGAGCTAAAGCAGTGACTAACAAACCCCACTGGAACCCGTGACATGTAGCACACATTTCATTGTAAATTTGCTGCTTGAAGTAAGGTTAGTAACTTTTCGCTTTCACTGATAGAGGGCTTCGTGACAACTGGTGCGGGGCATGCACAGTTCTTCTTGTGTCATGCATTCTCACATGGTTTTTGCATTGTTTTGAATGGGCTTTGACACAGTTTTTGGACTTAAACTCATCAAAATACACGTATCAGTTCCAACACATAGGTACATTGTGTACAATTGTCCAAAGAGGTTCTGACATGGATACAGCCTTTGATAAGACCAATCCTCAAGTTACAAATCCCTGGAAATGGACCATAGATGTGACGGACAGGCAACACAGTCCGCCCCTGGAAAATCCAAATGCTTGGACATGCGATGTATGCGCGATGTGCATTATTTCAAGAACTGAAATTTTTAAAACATGCTGAGATCAGGTGGGAAAAGGGCCTACTCATTCTACAAACCTCGATATTTGCAATTTTGGTATAACTATTACGAGTTTATTTGGAAAGAGTTCCATATAGGGACAACACTTCATGCCCCTGTGCACAAACCTATGAGACTTTTCTGAAGAAAAAAGGATCTGTTTTCTAAGTAAATGCTTTGGAATTTTCTCAGCTGTTTTTTCACTGTTAGGACATGTTTTCACTTTCTGATGGCTGTTATAATATTTTAAAGGAAAATTAGTGTTGTCCATATGTAACTTGTTTCATTTCTTTAACCTCTTCTGGAGTTTCATACAAATATGAAGAAAAAGTCAAATTAGAAATATGCATAGCCTAAATTGCCAGGAAAATAAACGATCAACAGTCACACCAGAGGCTGTAACATATACCACAGAGCATCTACATCTCAAAATTTTCCCGGGGCCCAAATAATAGACCCCACGCTGTATATCCTTTGCGCTCGCGATGTCAGCTATTTTCAGCAATTTTTTAAAATTTCCACTCACACCCCTGTGTCAAAGTTGAATATGCAGGGCTAAAAATACCTTCCTATAAGTAACATCTATGGCATGGAACATTAACATGAAAGTGTGAACTGCTTTTTCTCATTTGGTGTTGCTACCTAGTCCTGCTACCTGTTCCAGGAGCTGTCAGACAGTGCACTTTGCTTGCAGACATACATGTATATCACTGCTGAAAGATGACCAGCATGTATACAGAGCTCCTTAGACGCAATTGACCCCAAGCCAAAGTTATCCCACACCCCTACAGAGGGAAAAAATTACTAGAGTCTGTCATTTGAACACCATACATGTATGACACACAGTGTAAAGCAATCCTACTGGTAGCTCGCTGGTGGTTCATGGTCTGGGCCAGACAACCAGAAAAACTTTCAGCAAGTGTTTTCCTTGTCCTGTTATAAACACCAGGTGCAGTTTTCGTACCAGAACCCTAACTATTTTGTAACTTTGGCCTGGTTTCTTCAGAGGGCAGATTGGGGTGGGGGGGGAGGTGATAGGCCATGCTCTCTCAAATGCCTCCCCCAACTTTTTGGTATAAATTATGAGCTAAATAAAGGCAGGGTTTTTTTCGGGGGGGGGAATCTGTTTCATTTCCATCCTTCCAAAAGCTTGTTAAAAGGCCCTGAATGTAGCCTCACTCTTGAAAAGGCCATAACAGGTAACATGAAAAAGTCCAAATTCCCTTCTCCAGCCCAAAAAGTTGAGCCCCCCCCCCGGAACATTTGGGTCTGGATCTGTCCTAAATCCACGCTGGAGAGGTCAATGGAAATTTATGGGAAGAAAAGATTTTTTTTTTGCCTTTCGCCATGACAATTTGGTTTTGGATCTGCCATTGGTTTCCACCAATCAGACCGACTGCACCCGCCAAGTCACGTGACCTGTAGTGGATATCAAACATCAACAAACTCCATAATAAAGTGACTAAGCAGGCGCAATTGGGCCATTGGACCAAGTACTGCATTTTGTGTGAATTTCATGTTTTTGCTGACATCTCCATTTGGAAATATGAATTTGAATTCTTACAAGCTGACATATTGACACACTTTTCCCCTCAAAATACAGCATGGAGGGCTCAATTGTGTGTCTTCCAAAGGTGGTTGCTCTCAAGAAGAAATACAAGTGTTATTTATACCTGGATGAGGCCCACAGCATTGGAGCAATGGGACGTACAGGACGTGGTATCGTGGAGTACTTCGGTGTCAACCCTGATGATGTTGATGTCATGATGGGAACATTCTCCAAGAGTTTTGGCGCCTGTGGAGGATACCTCGCTGGCAGTAAGGTCGGTAGCGCTCACCTTAA